CAAGAACTGATCCAGGTCCTCCAAGAAAGAATGGCGACGTATCCCACGTTACGTCATCAGAGGACTGACTTTTATGTGCGAGTTTTTGCGTGTCTTGCAGCGGGGGGTAGTCACACACGCTATTAACTTGACGTGTCCATGAACTTGAGCGATTTCAGATGTGTGTGCCCTTTGCCCATTACGTTGAAAGCTTCTTTTGGGTTTTTTTTTTCAATAGTGCTGCTGTCCTGCCAATATCGGATGCTGTATGACTGTCATTTTAGATTATGATTTAGTTGAGATTTTTATCTTTTCAATTATTTCATGCATCTATCTTTTGCTTTGTTTTTTACCATTGAGTAAACTATGGTAAAAAATATATTGTCTGTCAGATTATTTTGAACTTGCTAAGATGAATCGGTTACTTAGTTTTATTCAAACTCACATAAACATACAAAAAACATGTGTCTTTGTGAAGATGACGATCACGTCTTACTCTGCAGTGGAGATCCGGGGTAGAATAGGTCTTCAGAAACCCATGCTTGCTGTAAAAGGCGACTATGCTTGTCGTAGCAGGCGACTAACGGGATCGGGTGGTCAGACTCACTGAGACCGCCTCCGTGGTCTAATGGTAGAGCGTCCGCCCGGAGAGCTGAAGGTCCGGGGTTCGATCCCCGGCCGCGTCATACCAAAAGACGTTAAAAGATGGTTGTTGTAACCCTGTCTGGCGCTCGACATTAAGGGGCTAAAACAAGGAATGGTCGGCTCGGAGTCAGTGTACTGTGTCTGAGTGGGGTATTCATGTTAAACTGCGGCATGGTATCTCAGTGAGCTAGCACTATAAATCGGCATGAGTCCGGACTAGTACAAGCAGCCACACACACACATACACGTACATGCACGTCGCTATATAAGTACAAAATCTTGGACGCGACGTTAAACCCCATTTCACCTCACCTCACCTCAGACTCGCTGACTTGGTTGATGCATGTTGTCGTATCCCAATTGCGTGGATCGATGCTCATGATGACATTTACTGGATTGACTGGTCCAGACTCGATTATTTACAGACCGCCGTCATATAGCTGGAATATTGCCGAGTGCGGCGTTAAACAACAAACAAACAAAAGTTCTTCAGCATTAAGATGTTTCCGCACAAACCTCAGCCACAGCCAAGATTGATGTGAACGCTCAGAAGAATCAATAAGAGTTGCTAATGATTTATATGACGCTTCAAAGACATGTGACAATATGATTTCCCATGCCATTCAACATTGTTATCATCCCTTTGATCGTTGGTTGTTGTAATGCCTATGTTATAACACATGTGTGCTTGCTACAGCAGGTCATCTTTTGATGTTTATATAATATGTGTAAATAAGCAATTTCCACAAGAAAATCAAACATCATTTCCGTGTTTTGCAAGTTGTATCTAATGTCTCGGATTCAGCCAGCAAAAGATAAGAAGATGTAAGATAGAAAGGAGCAATCTTACACACAGACGGTGAGATTGATGAATGTACTGTTATCAAAACGAAACAGCAGGAAAGGGCACTATAGACTCCCAACACGACGATCCATATTTAAACATGGCAAATAGGCATATTATTGATTGCATGGTTACGTGATATAAACTTCCCTCGTTTGCGTAACGTAATGTAAGATTTCTTTAATGTCACAAACTGTAATCTAATTCGTTACTTTAATTTGATTTAGCAACCTGTCCGTTGAGAAGCGCATATCTAATCTCACAATTCGACTGAGCGTGCAGAAATCGTACACCAATTATGTTAAAATTTAAACAATGCATTAACTTAGAATTACTTTTGTGTAAATTAAATGACGGCGTTCGCTTCCTTTGTTCGAGCAGGCACATTTACACATATAGTCCAAAGACATTCTTGATATCAGCTCCAACGTGTTACACGAATCATTGAGGAAGTACAGTTTGTGCACATTCGAACCTAATGAAGAAGATGTTGGCCATGTATCCCAGTATAATATTGTAAGGTATTAATATTGTATAACGCTATATCAAAGAGGTTGCATACAAAAAACAAAAAAAATCAAGAAATGGGTATATTTGGTATCATTTTGTAGGAAAATATGTCCTGAATCAAATTACGCAATAAAAAAACCGAGTCACCACGACATTTTTTGATTAAGTGGCGCCATCTAGAGGCACCGGATGATAAAATCATTTTGCCAATAAAATGGTCATTTTAAAGTTTGATTATTAATTGAGTGTTTTTAAATAGACATATTACAGTATTGATATGACACTAAACAGAAAAATGAAAATTCAAGTCAAAACATTTTTAATTTCACACATCATTTAACTTAAAAAAACACATTTTCCCAAAAGATTGATTCATCAGTCAAAAAAGCATTTTACAAAATCAAGATATTTTTCCAACTGACTTATTTCTAATGTTTATTCATTGTGAAATAAAATTATAAAATAAAAACAACATGTTACCAGAGGATATTCAAATTATTTTCAATCAACACAGCATACCCCTAAAATAATGAATCAGGGGAGGTAACTTTTGCCCAAATTTACATTTCTATGAGTTCTATTTTGGCGGAAGTACAATTAGCCGCGAGTCAAAGGGACGTAACCGCATTACAAATACTCGGCCTTACATGCGCGTCCGGTATGCGCATGAACAATGGTATCCAACGTCTTTAAGAATATGTAATTACACCCATAGGACACTACAGCCTCACAATGCCCTTTGCTCGTCGTTACACACCTTAGGGACGTGTTGAAGTTTGGTTACATGCCTCCAATAACATACTCCCATGCTTGGAGATCCACTGACATACTGATTAAATGGCTCCAGTATAATTTTGATATGAGTTTAGAGTTTTGTTCACATGGGTAATGATAACTTAATCAAAAGTATAGTATGAGAACCGACCACTTCACATGATATGCCTAAACAAGCTGGCTGCTGCCTTCGGACATGTAACGTCTATATTAGTGAGTGAGTGAGTATGGTTTTACGCCGCTTTTAGCAATATTCAAGCAATATCACGGCGGGGGACACCAGAAATGGGCTTCACACATTGTACCCATGTCGGGAATCGAACCCGGGTCTTCGGCGTGACGAGCTAACGCTTTAACCACTAGGCTACCCGACCGCCCCTTACGTCTATATTAACGTATTCCTTCATCAATTACTTCATCGTTGTACGTTCTAAGGAGTTTTCACTTCACGCTGTCGACCAAATTTCGACATGACAGTCTTCAATATGGAGCCGACCCGTGAAGAATCCAGGGTAGAATAGTTCTTCAGCAACCCATGCTTGCCGTAAAAGGTGACTATGCTTGTCGTAAAAGGCGACCTACGGGATCGGGTGGTCAGGCTCGCTGACTTGGTTGATTCATGTCATCGATCCCATTTGCGTGGATCGATGCTCATGATATTAATCCCTGGATTGTCTGTACAGACCCGATTATTTTCAGATCGCCGTCACATAGCTGGAACATTGCTGAGTGCGGCGTTAAACAACCAACCAACCAATATGGAACCTTCTTAACACAACTGTAGTGTTTTTTAATGTATATGTGTAGTTGTATTGTATGTGTTCTCAAATCTCAACATTCAGTGACAGTTCCATAACAACTACCACCTGCAAAACAAATTTGCACTATGGTGTTTCCAACAGCAGAATCCAGCTTCCAATTGTTTAATTGCCTTAATAAAAGCACAGCAATTAAACAATTTTTATTTCACTACATATACCATTCGGGGTCACATAATTAACTCAGAATATAGGGTGTTTTTAAACATGAGAAGATGTTCAGTCCTAACGAATGCTCAATTGGTTTGATGTACATTTCATCACGCCAATAAAGGGAATATGTTTACTTGATTGTGGTAATCAGGCATGCTTATTTGTCTCCCATGAACATGTAACATAATTATATCCACTGTAAATCTGATATAACAGAATATGAGAAATTTATTTGAGTTCAAAGTCAGTTCTCACCAGACTGCTGTAGATCAGCCTCCATCACGAGACAAGAATTGTTCCTTCCATTAAATCACTGCTCTCTCTGCCTGTGTTTACTCTGAATTCAGTGCAATCTATGAGATCTCTAAATGACAATCACCATATTTACTCAAGGTTACCGGGACGTGACACCAGCTTTTATCATCCAGCACAAGATCCACTTACATGCGGTCCACTGATCACTGTAATGCCTGAACTGGTCCAAACTGGACGACATTAACGAGAACGTGCAAATTGTATGTGTGGTGGGTGCTCCCGGTAGAGCAGAACGTGTTTGTCCTTTTCGCGAACACCTGGTCGCATCGGACCCGGTAAATAATGCCCCATTCTTTGCTTAAAACTTTACATAAACGCTTCATTTGTAAGAAGGAACTGTCTAATGAATTGGGTTTATAACCATTTACAACAGGCTTACGGTACCTCTTGAACCTTTGATACCAGTTCCTTTTTTATTCGACCGCCTCCGTAGTCTAATGGAAGAGCGTCCGCCCGGAGAGCGGAAGGTCCGGGGTTCGATCCCACGCCGCGCCATACCAAAATACGTTAAAAGATGGTACTTGTTGTAACCCTGTCTGGCGCTCGGCATTAAGGGGCTAAAACAAGGACTGGTCGGCTCGGAGTCAGTATACTGTGTCTGAGTGGGGTATTAATGTTAAACCGAGGCATGGTATCTCAGTGTGCTAGCACTATTAATCGGCAACAGTCCGGACTAGTACAAGTAGCCACACACATACACGTGCATGCTATATAAGTGCAATAATCTTGGACGCGACGTTAAATCCCATTTCACCTCACCTCCTTTTTTATTCACAGTTAGTACTGGACATTAGTGACTTTGATTAAATATGTATCAAAGCGTATACATTGTGTTTTGTGTATACATATCGGAAGCCATAATTCTTTTTAGCAAAACCATTTTTTTCCAATTCCGTACCAGTGAGTATAACAAGGATAGCGTTTTAAAGATTGCTTTTGTGAAGTGTTATGATCGATACTGGATGAGGGATGTGAGTTGTCATATCTCTCCCTTTGTAAATAATACGCATGATCTGAAACAAACTAACTTGGAGTGTTGTGTGGTTGGTGGTGTGGTCGTGGGTGTGGTCGTGGGTGTGGACAAGTGTGGTGTGATTGTTGGTGTGGTCGTGGGTGTGGACAAGTGTGGTGTGGTTGTTGGTGTGGTCGTGGGTGTGGACAAGTGTGGTGTGGTCGTGGGGGTGGACAAGTGTGGTGTGGTTGTTGGTGTGGAGAAGTGTGGTGTGGTCGTGGGTGTGGACAAGTGTGGTGTGGTTGTTGGTGTGGAGAAGTGTGGTGTGGTCGTTGGTGTGGACAAGTGTTGTGTGGTTGTTGGTGTGGTCGTGGGTGTGGACAAGTGTGGTGTGGTCTTTGGTGTGGACAAGTGTTGTGTGGTTGTTGGTGTGGTCGTGGGTGTGTACAAGTGTGGTGTGGTCGTGGGTGTGTACAAGTGTGGTGTGGTTGTTGGTGTGGACAAGCGTGGTGTGGTCGTGGGTGTGTACAAGTGTGGTGTGGGTGTGGATGTGGGTGTGGTTGTGACTAATTGTAGTGTGGGTGTGCAGAATTAGTGTGTGGTTGTTGGTGTGGGTGTGGTAAAGTGTGATATGGTTGTGGGTATGGGTGTGGTAGTTGCTAACTGCGGTGTGGTGAGCATCATAATTTTGGTTGGTGGTGTGGGTGTGGACAAGTGTGATATGGCTGTTGGTGTGGTCGTGGGTGTGGACAAGTGTGATATGGTTGTTGATGTGGTCGTGGGTTTGGACAAGTGTGGTGTGGTTGTTGGTGTGGTCGTGGGTGTGGACAAGTGTGGTGTGGTTGTTGGACAAGTGTGATGTGGCTGCGGTTGTGACTAATTGTGGTGTGGGTGTGCACAATTGTTGTGTGGTTGTTGGTGTGGGTGAGGTTGCGGTTGTGGCTAATTGTGGTGTGGGTGAGCAAAAGTGTGTGGTTGTAGGTGTAGTTATTGGTGTGGCTGTGGTTGTGGCTAATTGTGGTGTGGGTGTGAGTGTGGACAGGTGTGGTTTGGTTGTTGGTGTTGGTGTTGGTGTGGTTGTGGTTGTGGCTAATTGTGGTGTGTGTGTGTGTGCACAATTATGTGGCTGTGGGTGTACACAAGTGTGGTATGGCTGTTGGTATGCGTGTGGTTGTGGTTGTGGATAATTGTGGTGGGTTTAGTGAGTGTGGACAGGTGTGGTTTGGTTGTTGGTGTGGTTGTGGTTGTGGCTAATTGTGGTGTGTGTGTGTGTGCACAATTATGTGGCTGTGGGTGTACACAAGTGTGGTATGGCTGTTGGTATGCGTGTGGTTGTGGTTGTGGATAATTGTGGTGGGTGTGTGAGTGTGGACAGGTGTGGTTTGGTTGTTGGTGTGGTTGTGGTTGTGGCTAATTGTGGTGTGTGTGTGTGTGCACAATTATGTGGCTGTGGGTGTACACAAGTGTGGTATGGCTGTTGGTATGCGTGTGGTTGTGGTTGTGGATAATTGTGGTGGGTGTGTGAGTGTGGACAGGTGTGGTTTGGTTGTTGGTGTGGTTGTGGTTGTGGCTAATTGTGGTGTGTGTGTGTGTGCACAATTATGTGGCTGTGGGTGTACACAAGTGTGGTATGGCTGTTGGTATGCGTGTGGTTGTGGTTGTGGAATAATTGTGGTGGATGTGTGGACACGTGTGGTGTGAGTGTTGTGGTATGGGTGTACACTAGTGTGGTGCGAGTGTGGACATGGGTTGTGAGGATGTGCACAAGTGTGTAGATGTGGGTGTGGCCGAGTGTGTGTGTGTGTGTCTGTGTGCGTGTGTGCGTGCGTTCGTGCGTGCGTGCGTGTGTGTGTGTGTGTGTGTACAAAAGCGTAAGCGTGCACATGTGTGTGTGGAGCACAAATATGGACAAGGGTGGTGTGGGTGTGACCAAGTGTGATGTAGGCGTGGGCATGGACAAATGTTGGTGTTGATGTGAGGGTGGATGTTGGTGTGGGCAAGTGTGGGAGTGGACACTTGTGGACAAGTGTGAGTGAGAATGTGGATGTGGATGCGGACAAGTGTGGCCAGGTGTGGCCAGGTGTGGGGGTGGACAAGTGTGATGTCGATTTGGACAAGTGTTGGTTTGGTCAAGAGAGGATATGATGTGGTCAAGTGTAGGAGTGGATGTATTTGACTTTGGAAGTTGGCGTCAATGCGGGTTTGGGTTTATATACGTGCAGCGGTGTTGGTGTTGATGTCGGTGTCGGTGTAGATGTGTATGTGTTTGTGGATGTCGAAGCGGATCATGGATGTGGATACGGCTGTGGATGTGGACTCTGGTGTGATGGATGTGGACACTGGTGTGATTGTTGGTGAAACAACAGAGAATGAATAGCTGCCACAATATTGCCAAATGTAAACGACTTGTACATATAACCTGGAAAATGTGGCTGGTGTTTTGTATTTATCGACATAAGCGTTGTCAATGTTAACGATTTTAACATTATGCAGCTATTCCTACTGTATTCATATCACCGTAGTGTCCTAACCGTGCAACAATCATATTTGTTTATTTACGATATGCAGAACGTCCGTGTTTTTCAACTCTATGTATCACAAATTGTCTATACAGATTGAGCCATTCGAATGTTTCGCCTTATTCAATTGTACTCTATCCATTATATCTCCCATTAAATATACAGTGAATGCCGTTGTGAGAAACGCAATCCTTTCAAATGTCTATTGCACTTTATAAGTTGACCCAACGATGCAATAATTTAGGTATTTGTATGACATCCACTAATGGCACATGTTTGGTGTCATGCCCCTCGCTGTATTCAAATGTTCATTTTATGTGCTGAGGAATCATTCTTTTTCAAATGCTACTTTCAAGCCTTTAGAACTGATATATATTTCTCATCGATCTGTTATGTGAGAAAGTCATAGCCCTGAATTTGGACAAGCCTATTCATTGTGCTGCCAGTTCTTGATTTCACGCTTCCGACTAAGCATAAAGGCTGGAACAAACTGCCATTGCTTGTCTGTACAGTGGCCTGTTTGGATAAAGAGATGGCGGGCATGGAACTTGTAAAGACTGTGGAGAGATGCATGATGCCCGCCAAAGTGGATAAGGTTGGATGGGGTTGATGGTTGTCACTCCTACACAGCACATGGTGGGAAGGGTCGGTTCTGAGTGCAGATGCGGGGTGATGACGATGCATGTAGCAAGAGAAGTAAGTGTCCGCTTGACATTTATTGATGACAAGGAATACAATGGGTGAAGAAACGAAACTGTTCCCGTAAATGTTAGTTTATCCACGAAATGCAGAGCAGTATGACTACATCAGAACAAGAGATGACTGGCAATGTTTATGGTTTTGAAAAGCAATATTATGGCAGTTCAAGGATGCAACTGGATAGGACTCACAAACCCATGGCCTTCAATATTGAATAAATAAAGTTATTGATTGTGTATGCAATATGCACTTTCACCATGCACGACAATTATTGTCCACAACGGTACGAGAATGGAAAATAAGAACTTATATAAGTTTGGAACTACTTAATCATGACCAGACGGTGTCATTCGTTGGTCAGAGATCATTGTTGCTGTGGCCCTACGGCAACTCCGTTTTAATATCCAAGGGAAGTCAATAGACTGGAATGTCTTCCCTGGGGTCACTCTTCCTACAAAGCATCACCAGAGGGCAGTCCGAGATTGGGTTTGGTCACGCTGAAAGATGACCACAACAACTATATGGGTTTCTATAGATATCACAAACTGACAGTGTCCAATGTTTGCGGGTCCAAACCTGTCAACCACTCATTTCGGGACACTCTTTACCCCGAACTTTAAGAGCCATCTCATTACACAAGTTCGGATGCTCGGCTTTGTAAAACTCTTGTTGGAGAAGTATGTGTCTGGTAGTGCTCTTTGAAGTAAATCTCACTTTAAGTACTTCGTTACAATGTAGGATCATTGGTGTAATCATACCCATAACGTAGGGTACAGGTAGGGGACTCGGGTGGCCAATTTGCCTAAAGCGTTGCAATTCTCTGTTCTCTGTTCGTCCCTCAGTAGCGCCAGGGGGCGATCGGGTAGCCTATTGGTTGAAGCATTCGCTCGTTCCGCCGAAGATCCGGGTTCGATTCCGGAAAGGAGTACAATGTTTTAAGCCCATTTGTGGTGTCCCCCGCTGTGGTATTGCTGGAATATTACTAAAAGCGGCATAAAACCATACTCACTCACTAGTAGTGCCAGAAATCTATGATCGTGGACTCCCTTGAGGTCTCATTGTTTGTCAGCTCGTTGCCTTCACTTCAGTGAAAACATCTAGAACTGCATCACTTCGGGCTTCTTCCCTCTTCCCACATCAAGTTGACACGCCGTGATATAACTGAGATGCTGATGAAAGTGGCTTGAAACCAAACCCCAACCCTCATGCCAACTACACGCTCCGGGGCTTAGATACTTCCGATGCGACGTCAAATTTCAAGTGTCACAACACAATGTATTCTCACGATAATATTCATTACAAAAGGCAATGAAACACAACAAGAGACAAATCTAGACGTATGTGCCTCCAGTACATATGTTGTTGGACATGTCTTACACCGGTTCCCGAGGAGTCAGTGTATTGGAAGCAGGCCAGTTATCCAATGAAGTATGTATTGAAATCCTACGATTTCTTCTGCAGTGTAAATACGACATTGCGCTGATGGTACTTCATGAATGAGAATAACCCAGTTACGTCAGATGGTTCGATGATTGTCCGAATTAACACGTTTGTAGATCTAATCAATGCTCCAAGAGATTCGTAACTGACATATCATAGCACTTTATCATGCCGCAACAGACAGAATCTATCACTTATAACTCTCACACGTAACGTCTTTACTTCAACATTGAATAGTGATAGACGCGTTTGTTGATCGCGGTGTCAAGTTCTATACCACCATTATGTGAAAGATAGCGTCTTCATGTGTTAGTTCTAGGTGTTGTCGAGTGACGGCAACTTTTCGTGTATGGATGTGGACAAGACAAAGGTCGAGCTCTTTTACCATATAGGAGTCCTATATTTTGTTTTGCAAACGACGTCTTTATCTGTACTCATATGGGGGCACGGGTTGCCCAGTCGTCTAAGGCGCCGCGATTTGCTGTGCAGAGTGCGTCCCTTGGGCATGCCAGAAACCTATGGTTGTGGGTTCGAATCCCGGTTCGCCACGATTTTGTTTGTAGGTTTGTCAGCACCATACCCGTGCTAGTGGGTTTCACCGAAGTGGTAAACGTCTGAGACCTGCATCACTTCGGGCTTTCCTCCCACATTAAGCTGACACGGCGCGATATAACTGGAATACTGTTAAAAGCGACGTTAACCCCAACTCACTCACTCACTCACTCACTCACTCACTCACTGTACTATTATGGCCTTTGGGACAGGTATTGCCAATTACAAGGACTTCATTTCATGAAGGGGGAACGGATGACCCAGTTGGCTAAGGCGCCACAATTCGCTGTGCAGAGTTGCGTCCCTTGGGCACGCCAGAACCCTACGAGTGTGGGTTCGAATCCCGGTTCGCCCCGGGTATGCTTCTAGGTTTGTTGAAAGCGGCGTTAGACCTAACTCACTCACTCCTCATTTGAATGAATTGGCAAGTACGGGGACCACGTTTCCTGAATATGTGCTGGCAATTACGGGGACTAAATTTTCTGTATATATGCTGGCAAGGACGGGGTCCATGTTCCCTGTATATGTGCTGGCAAGGACGGGGTCCACGTTTCCTGTATATGTGCTGGCAAGGACGGGGTCCACGTTTTCTGTATTTGTGCTGGCAAGGACGGGGTCCACGTTTTCTGTATATGTGCTGGCAAGAACGGGGTCCACGTTTTCTGTATGTGTGCTGGCAAGGACGGGGTCCACGTTTTCTGTATATGTGCTGGCAAGAATGGGCACCTTGTTTTCTGTATAGGTGCTGGCAAGGACGGGGACCTTGTTTCCTGTATGTGTGCTGGCAAGGACGGGGTCCACGTTTTCTGTATGTGTGCTGGCAAGGACGGGGTCCACGTTTTCTCTCTATGTGCTGGCAAGAACGGGGACCTTGTTTTCTGTATAGGTGCTGGCAAGGACGGGGACCTTGTTTTCTGTATAGGCGCTAGCAAGGACGGGGTCCACGTTTCCTGTAAGTGTGCTGGCAAGGACGGGGTCCACGTTTTCTCTCTATGTGCTGGCAAGAACGGGGACCTTGTTTTCTGTATATGTGCTGGCAAGGACGGGGACCTTGTTTTCTGTATAGGCGCTAGCAAGGACGGGGTCCACGTTTCCTGTAAGTGTGCTGGCAAGGACGGGGTCCACGTTTTCTGTATATGTGCTGGCAAGAACGGGGTCCACGTTTCCTGTGTGTGTGCTGGCAAGGACGGGGACCTTGTTTTCTGTATATGTGCTGGCAAGGACGGGGTCCACGTTTCCTGTATATGTGCTGGCAAGGACGGGGTCCACGTTTTCTGTATTTGTGCTGGCAAGAACGGGGACCTTGTTTTCTGTATAGGTGCTGGCAAGGACGGGGTCCACGTTTCCTGTATATATGCTGGCAAGGACGGGGTCCACGTTTTCTGTTAGTGTGCTGGCAAGAACGGGGTCCACGTTTCCTGTGTGTGTGCTGGCAAGGACGGGGACCTTGTTTTCTGTATAGGTGCTGGCAAGGACGGGGTCCTCGTTTCCTGTATATGTGCTGGCAAGGACGGGGTCCACGTTTTCTGTATGTGTGCTGGCAAGGACGGGGTCCACGTTTCCTGTATATATGCTGGCAAGGACGGGGTCCACGTTTTCTGTATATGTGCTGGCAAGAACGGGGACCTTGTTTTCTGTATAGGTGCTGGCAAGAACGGGGTCCTTGTTTTCTGTATTTGTGCTGGCAAGAACGGGGTCCACGTTTTCTGTATATGTGCTGGCAAGGACGGGGACCTTGCTTCCTGTATGTGTGCTGGCAAGGACGGCGACCTTTTTTCCTGTATATGTGCTGGCAAGAACGGGGATCTTGTTTTCTGTATGTGCGCTGGCAAATACGAGTTCAACGTTTTCTGCAGGTACGGGGACTCCAGCGTATGTCAACGCGTATAGGTACCCATTTTCGAGGGTGGGACAGGAAACGTTCACCATTTAGCAAACACTGGTACCATCACTATTTGATGGTGATTCATAAACACATGCTTATAAAATAGTCGGGTTCGTACAATGGACTCTGCTTTGATGGATAGGGTTTTGTCGCTTGTATTGTACATACCCGTTTTAAGCGTTTGTTTATATAAACATAACATAAAGAGGTCCATTCATACAATTTTCGCCGCACTTTTGCCCTGTACGCCCAATGGAATTTATTAAGTTGAGACTGGTAATTCGGAAGTTTAATATTCTATAACTTCTCCCGTACCTTAACATGCAATTTAACCCGAATACCTATCCGTAAATCCGAAATAACTAATACGACGAACTCAACTGACAAATTAAAGACCCCGCACGAAGCTATCAACTAAGTTACCCCTAACCTCCCCATTGTTATACCAATTAACTCACTATCTTTCAGTCATAGCTGGTCACGCTTCCTTGTAACTAACCCCATGATATAACCTGACATTATCTAACAACAACCCCAAGCCTAATATACTAGTTTAAGCATACCATAAAAACTATATCTAAACTACCAGCATGTAATAATTATCAATAAAACTGATCATGTTCTTGACATGTACAAGAATGTATATTGCCATAAAACAAGTCAATCCTAAGCCAGTATATAACAGAATACACAATTCTTAAGAATTCAGTCCTTGACTGCTATAGAAATTCCCACTAACAGGTGTTTGACGTTATCTCCTTAAACCTCAGGGCTGTACAATCAAACTCAAGTTTGGACTTCCAGCAAATAAGAGTTCGTTTATTAGCCTTCACTGCTCCTTAATAGGCCTTCTTATCATGTCAGGAAATTGTCTCTTTAAGGAAATGAGAAAATAGCTTTGAAGAAAACCGATGACATTTACCCGATGTAAGGAGCCTGATAGTAAGGGCGTTATTTCATAATATGATGGAAAGAGGTGTTATGAAACACAAAAAGATCTGGCGCCACATATATGCCCAGTAAGCAAGAATGTTCGCCAGTGATCATTCATATTGGGGGAACCATTGAGATCTGATGATGGAGCTTGATGGGTCTCTCAATGGATATAGCCCAAAGGTGGCAGGCCTTATGGGGCCGGGTTCTAGCAATAACCTCACCTTTTCTCTGACATTGAGTACTTGGTCTGCGGACCTTGGTTGATATTGATTTTCCTTCTTGCCACCTGACCCCTCTGTCCCACTCTTCCACACTGATTAAATGTATTAGTCCAATAAGGCGGGGAGTCCCAATATCATTCCAATGGATTGGTACATATATTTTACCTTAGAGTCTACTAGACATGCAAATGAAAAACATTTAGATGCTGGGGTGTAACCTATTGGTACAATACTTCTATAACTTATACAACGTTCTGCTGGTCTGATGGTACTGATGGCAAAGTGAAAGTTTATGAAATATTGTACATGTCTTTCTATATAACTGACTCGTAAGTGTATGTACGCATACAGAAGTAGTGTTAAAGTAAGTGAATTTGAATTTTCCGAAAGATTCCGTTTAGACATGAACACACTTGACCACTTTCTAAATTGCATTGTGTGTTCATAGCTTTCGGCCATAGGAGCCGTGCCAATATACATTTGTCAGATGGGTACGCAACGTACGTGATCTAGACTAACAGTTGTCGGGCTTTCATTTTTGTGGAAGACTCAGTGGCTGAGTGGGTTAGATCGCTGACCTTGTGTGCTGGCGATTAGATGCCTCAATCTGGGTGGGTTCGAATCCCGGATGGGACTCAACCTAAAAAAGTACTAGAATCTGTACTTTACTAAGAAAGTTTTATCCCAAATATAACATTTGTTAGATTCCGCTTCGGTCCAGTTTGTAATCTAGAGCAACAGTCAGATACCAGATGAAGTTGATAAGTGCAGAATTTCCCCAAATATTGTGATATGTAACGGTCGCACACACTCAGACAATGAAGACACAGTTGACTGGATGTCAACGTGTTTGGTCTTTCAATGTAGATATATTGCTCAGTGCAACATTCCTGAAGCCCAGTAATAATTATGTTTGACTCCCTGACAAATGCCAGATCCCTCAACACAGAATGACAAGATCAGAGAATTAGCCAACATTTCCAACTGTTCATAGCAACTGACGAATTGTAACGCAGGTCGTTCCCATCACTTTTTATTTTAAATGCATCTTTTTGTTAGAAGTTGTTCGGTATTGTTACGTTTCGGTGATACGATATCGGCAAATAGAGATTGCATTGTTGTACAAAACACATCTCACTTCGAGATGTTTGTTTGTTGATATTTGTTCAACGACGCACCCAGCTTTATGACGGCTGTCTATATATTCTGCACAGTCTTCACAAGACAATTCAGTCGGGGTACGATGACACGCAATCAACCAAGTCGCTGAGCCTGACCACCCGATCCATTAGGTCGCCTCTAAAGACCAGCATGGGTTGCAATTGACCTATTCTAACCGACCTGTGAAGATCTGGGGTAGAATAGGTCTTCAGAAAACCATGCTTGCCGTAAAAGGCGACTATGCTTGCCGTAAAAGGCGACTATGCTTACCGTAAAAGGCGACTATGCTTGTCGTAAGAGGCGACTAACGGGATCGGGTGGTCAGGCTCGCTGACTTGGTTGATGTATGTCATCGTATTCCAATTGCGTGGGTCGATGCTCATCACATCAATCACTGGATTGTCTGGTCCAGACTCGATTATATACAGACCACCGTCATAAAGCTGGAATATTGCCGAGAGCGGCAAACAAACAAACCTTTTCTAACCCGGAATCTCAACCGGCTGATTCAGGAATAAGTTCTGATATTTACATTTGTTATGAATAAAACAAATAAAACCAGTAAAAACCCCCTCCATGAAAAAATTACGACATACATCTTCTGTTAAACGACATCCATCTATATCAACTGTAATATTGCTCCTCACACCAAAATCCCGGGTTTGAATCCACATATAGGTACAATATGCGAAACAAATTTCTGGTGCCTCCGTCATGATATTGCTGGAATATTGTTAAAAGCCGCGGCGCAAAACACCTTTTCCCAACTTCCTGCTCAACATTTGCAAAACTATCTACCATTGGAACAGTTCCTATCGCCAGACGTCACTCGGGTCTAAACCAAGATCAAGTACCATGGTAAATATACTGGCCCGGAGAATAACGTGTTAGGCGCCATCTGGAGTGTTTGCTGTGAGGTGGTACTTGGGCCCATGTACACTCCCATATGTAGGCAGTGTGACGAGGTATCGTGGGTTACCAGTTCTTCTGTAAACGTCTTCTAAAATCATGACAATATTAAGAAGTAATCCGGTTTAGCAGGAACAGCGGTTGGATGCATTGATTCGAAGAAGACTCTTGTGTGGTTGATTTGATGACATTGTCTAAAGCGCTGAAAAATATTTTGATTGGAATTTGCGAGAGGTATAATCTTATATCAAATGTCAAACGATCCTCGAGCTTAAACATGGAAAGGATTTAATAGTACGGCGACTGACTGTTTGAGTTTTGAGAAGTACGGCTATAAAACGTAATATTTTCAATCAAAAGGGTGTCTGTAAGTATGTTATGTCAATCGAAACATTATTCATTTTCAAACATTTATCGATGCATGTAATTTATCAAATGTAGACATATTTGTGTTAGAATATTATACTTATCCATATTAATTTGAAAATTACATTAATAGAATATACAGTTGCTGTGCTCGCCGTGGTGTGGTATCGTGATAGTCAGAGCACGGCACCGCTTGATAATAGTTAACAAAAGGCAACAAACATACCTATAATCATAAGAAACCTCTGCCAGAAGGAAAGTACATGGTTCTATTCTGACTATATTATAAGCATGTAATTATGATTCACTATCTATTAGTTGGTTGGTTGGTTGGTTTGTTGTTTAACGCAGGAATAGCGGTTGGATGCATTGATTCGAAGAAGACTCTTGTGTGGTTGATTTGATGACATTGTCTAAAGCGCTGAAAAATATTTTGATTGGAATTTGCGAGAGGTATAATCTTATATCAAATGTCAAACGATACTCGAGCTTAAACATGGAAAGGATTAATCAGTACGGCGACTGACTGTTTGAGTTTGGAGAAGTACGGCTATAAGACGTAATATTTTCAATCAAAAGGATGCCTGTAAGTATGTTATGTCAATCGAAAAATTATTAATTTTCAAACATTTATCGATGTATGTATTTTATCAAATGGAGACATATTTGTGTTAGAATATTATACTTATCCATATTAATTTGAAAATTACATTAACAGAATATACACTTGCTGTGCTCGCCGTGGTATGGTATGGTGATAGTCAGAGCACGGCACCGCTTGATAATAGTTAACAAAAGGCGACAAACATAAGAAACCTCTGCCAGTATAGGTTGGTTGGTTGGTTTGTTGTTTAACGCCGCACTCAGCAATATTCCAGCTATATGACGGCGGTCTGTGAATAATCTAGTCTGGGCCAGACAATCCAGTGATTGACATCATGAGCATCGATCCACGCAATGGGGATCGATGACATGCATCAACCAAGTCAGCGAGCCTGACCACCCGATCCAGTTAGTCGCCTTTTACGACAAGCATAGTCACCTTTTACGGCAAGCATGGGTTGCTGAAGACCTATTCTACCCCGGAATCCTCACGGGTCACTATCTATTAGTGATGATACAAGGTGTTCGCGAAGAAGTGGAGAAAGTGCCAAACCGGTGACCCTTCGTTCACGTGGTTCCGTTTTAACGCGGTGCTTCTATACCTACAATATATATTTGATGACAAGACATTGTAAAAATTAAAATCTCACAATATCGCCTTCTGATCAAAATTATTTTTACAGGCATCATATACTCAGCCATACGGGCGAATCTGTTTTTTACACTCACTTCCTATCATTATGCGAAATGTACAGATAAAGAATATAATTGCCTTGCAATAACTGCTTATTTCAATGAGATAAAGATGCTCTTTGAAATGCAGTGATAATACTCCCAATAGAACACGC